CAAAAAGTTACTTACAAAGGACAACCAATAAGAATAAGCTCTGATTTCTCAGCAGAAATCATGCAAATGAGAAGGCAATGGGATGGTACTTATAAAACCCTGAAAGAGAAAAGCTTCAAACCAAGAATTATATACCTGGAAAAATTGTCCCTCAAATATGATGGTGAAATTAGGAGATTTCCTGATAAAAAAAAATAAAGGGAATTTGTTAAAACCAGACCAACCTTACAAGAGACACTAAAGGGAGTCCTTTGAACAGAGAACCAATAATAGCAAACAACAACCGAACATTAATACACAAAATGACATAACCCAGAAACCACAGCTATGGACATATCCAAAGTAAAATAAGCTTACAAGATTGTAAACAGGGAACCAGAGACATCAATGAAAAAATGAGGACAACCAGAAACCGAAAAGATGGGAAAAATAGTGTAGTTATAGAACTTCTAAATGGTGAGGGAGTCAAGAGAGTTGCAAGATAGAATAGACTGTTGTAAACTTTGGGAGAACATTATAAATCACAGGGTAACCTCAAAGAAAAATGATAAATCTTCACATCACAGTAATAAAGAGGATGAGCACAAATATTTAGCAAATACTAAAACAATAGCAACAAAGGAAATGATAACACAATTCATAAACATAACAAGCTCAGCACAGAAAATAATATGGAACAAAGAAACCAAGAACACCATGAAAAAACACAGAGCAAAATGACAACCAATTCATACTTGTCAATAATTACACTGAACGTTAATGGATTAAATGCACCACTCAAGAGACATAGAGTTGCACACTGGATAAGGAGACATAATGCATCAATATGCTTGTCTACAAGAGACACACCTCAGAGACAAAGACAAAAATAGATTAAAAATCAAAGGTTGGAAAAAGATGTATCAAGCAAATGGCAACCAAAAAAAAAAAAAAAGCAGGAGTGGCAATATTAATTTCTGATCAAAATTATCCTTGACATAAGAGTCAAGGAAGGACATTATATAGTGATTAAAGGATCAGTTGAATAAGAAGATATAACCATAGTAAATGTCTATGGACCCAATGAAAGAGCCCCAAAATATATAAATCAGACTTTAAAAGAGTTGAAAAGGCAAATAGATGACTCCACAGTCATAGTAGGAGACTTTAGTACACTACTTTCAATGAAAAGTAGAAAACTGGAAAGAAACTCAGCAAAGATGCAAAAGAGCTAAACAATATAATCCACCAACTTGACCTTATAGACATCTACAGAGCACTTAATCCAATAATAGTACAATATACATTCTTTTACAGTGCACATGGAACATTCTCCATGATAGACCATATGTTAGACCATAAAACAAGCCTTACTAAATTTAAAAACACTGAAATACTGGAAAGCAACTTCTTAGATTACAATGCTATCAAATTAGAAATCAACAATAGGAACATCAACAGAAAAAGAGCAAACACATGGAAACTGGACAACATCCTCCTTAAGGGAGGTAAAAGAACAAATAAAAAGTGGAATTTAAAAATTAATTGAATCAAACGAGAATGAAAACACAACATACTAAAATCTTTGGAACATAGCAAAAGCAGTGATCAGAGGCCAACAAATAGCAATTAATGCACACATCAAAAAAGGAGAGCCAAAATCAACACTTTAAACCAACATCTCCAACAATTAGAAAAAGAACAGCAAGAAAAGCCTGTAGTCACCAGAAGAAAGAAAATAATAAAGATTCAAGCAGAAATCAATGAAACAGACAATAGAAAGATAATAGAAAAAAAAAAAATCAAGACTAGAAGTTGTTTTTTTGAAAAGATTAATAAAATTGACAAACCACTGGCAAATTTAACCAAGGAAAAGAGGGAGAGAATACAAATAACATGAATAAGGAATGAAATGGTTAACATCACAACAGAACCAACTGAAAAAATAGGTTATCGGGATACTATGAAGAACTATACTCCAACAAATTTGAAAATCTGGAAGAAATGGACAGATTTCTAGAAACACACTACTTACCTAACCTAACACAGACTGATGTAGAAAAGTTGAACAGATCCATAACAAAAGAAGAAATTGAACAGGTCATAAAAAAATTACCAATAAAAAAAGGTCCTGGTCCAGACAGTTTCACCAGAGAATTATACCAAATATTCAGAAAAGAACTGACACCAATCCTACTCCAACAATTCCACAACATAGAAAAGGATGGAATCCTCCCTAATTCATTTTATGAAGCAAGCATAACCTTGATACCAAAACCAGGCAAAGACATCACTGAAAAGGAAAATTATAGACCAATATCCTTCATGAAATAGATGCAAAAACCTTCAACAAAATCCTAGCCAATAGACTCCAACAATATATCAAAAAAATAATTCATTATGACCAAGTGGGGTTCATATCAGGTATGCAAGAATGGTTCAACATTAGAAAAACAATCAATGTCATCCACCACATAAATGAAACAAAGGGAAACTATTAGGTATGTCTATTCCAGGGGGAAGTGTGCCCAAGACCATTCATAGGGTTGGCAGACAATGTTTCTACAAGTGTATTGGTATGTTCTATAAATTCCCAGGTATATAGTAGGGCTGACAAGGGATGAGGTTGCAGTCACTTCTTGGCCATAGCCAGCTACCCAGAGGGAGAGTGTAGTTGGACCTGTGAGCTCGAGACCATAGTCTCAAGGGATAGCAAGCTCAATTGGCATAACACACTACACAAAACATTGTGTCACATTCTACTTTGGGAAGTAGTGACTGGGATCTTAAAAGCTTGCAAGTGGCCATCTGGATGCAATGATGGGTCTCTCCTCTCCTCGTCCAGAGCAAAGAAGAATGAAGAAAACCAAAGATGCATGGAAATGGTTAGTCCAGGTGACTGGTACAACATGCGATCCTCAGCCTATATGACTATGAGACCAGAAGAACTAGATGGTGCCCGCCTACCACTGTCAAGCACTTGGAGGGGGATCTCTGTAGGAGATCCTGGATACAGTGGGAGAATAATGTGGAACAAAACTCAAAATCATTAAAGAAAAAAAAAGGGACCAGATTTTCTGATCTGATAGAGCCTGATGGAACCACTGAGACTATAGCCCCTAGCTGCCCCCTTGGGCCTGGAATTGAACCCACTCCTCTGGCTCGGGCACAAACAAAAGATAGACATGTGAGGTGAATATTTACATTAGGTAGATATGCTCCTTGGAGAGAACAATTATGGGAGAATAGAAGGGCTGTGTATGCACAGGGAGATAGCTCAGAGGGCAAAAATGCATGGAGGGAATGACATGGAAGAGGTAACTATGGGGAGGATGTAGGAGGGGAGCTGTTACATTATGGTAAACTATTTAGTCAGTGTCATAAGACAAAGTGTATGTGAGCTGCTGTATGGAAAGTGAATTTGCTCTGTAAACTTTCACCCAAATCACAATTAAAAAAAAAAAAAAGAATGTTGACAAATTAAAACAGCTTGGCCAAATTAATGATTGTTTTCTAAGTAAATGTTTTTCTGTTATCTGCCCTGAACTTTCTTTCCTCTTTTTCTTCCTTCCTTTCTGTCCTCTGTCTCTACCCTCTCATGTGCAGAAGTCCAAGGCTTGCGAGAAGGCCATTGCAGTGGGCCAGACAGTCATCACGAAACATCGGAACACCCGGTATTACAGCTGCCGAGTAATGGCTGTGACATCACAAACCTTCTATGAAGTCATGTTTGATGACGGCTCCTTCAGCAGGGACACATTTCCTGAAGATATTGTGGTGAGTCTCCTGGGTCTCTGCTACCCAGTTTACTTTGTGTAGAAGAACCCCAAACAGAACCAGCTGAACTCTTCAGGAACCTGTCAGTTGACCTTAATATTCAAATTTGCTATTTTTCCACAGCAGAGGAATTTTTTTTTTTTTCCCCCTCAGAAGCTTCCCTAACCTTCATAAATACTAAATAGTATCCAGGTGAACATAAGAGTAATCTGAAATTCTTTTAATTAAATGAGAAATGTATTTGGTCAGGAAATGTAAAATGCAAATCTGTATCATCTTTTCTGTCATCCTGTGTTCACATATTGGAATTCCTTTATGCCTTCTTTTTTCTTCATACTTAACTAAATAAGATGGCTTTTATTCATCTGACCTGAGATGTTTAACTCTGTGGATTTTCACTTGGGGGTAACAAAATCACATGGGAAAAGATTGTGACCTTCACTGAATTTCTTACCTGTGCCCAGATTGTGACATTCCATGTGCATGTTTGCACATATATGGCCCAGATTGTGACCTTCATGTATGTGTATGCACATGTATGTGTTCCTTCCTCCTTATTACCCCTCACTGAGCACCTTACCTTGTCTCAGATCATGACCTGTGTGCATGCATGTGTGTGCATGTGTGTCCCTTTTTGTAACCCCTGACTGAACAGTTTAACTGTGTCTCTGACTGTAGCTCTGTGTGTGTGTGTGTGTGTGCATGCCTGCGTGTGTTCCCTCTCCTTATCACCCCTCAATGAATGCCCAGAGTATGACTTTCCGTGTGTATGTGCTCATGTGTGCATGTGTGTATCCCCTTTCCTTATTACCACTTGGTGAATATCTTGAGGTTTCTTTAGAGGAACTATGACTGTATCTCAGGGGTAGTGACATACTTTGTTTTCAGGGCAGGATGTTTCACAAAAAGAGTACTTTACACAGAAGGGTTTTTGAAACCAAGGACAGATGGATTAAGTGAACTTAGCATCAGTCTGGTGGTGACATGGTATCACTCCTGCTTTCAGGGAAGTGGCTGCTTGGGGAGCCTAGCCTCTATCATGCTGCCCTAACTTCTCCTTTGCCATGAGTATCTGTTGATGTTTTGCTTTTGTGTATGCTTGGAAAGACATTTCTTCCTTTTCTTTTTGTTTGTTTGTTATTATTATTTTTTTAATAGTGGTGAAAATAGACACATCAAAACATTCACCAGCACAGCTTCCATATTCATAATTCAATGGTATTGATTATATTTTTCATGTTGTATAATCATTATCACTATATTTTTCAAGTTTTCCTACTGTTAACAAACACAGTGTCCCCCAGACAAAAACTCCCCATCCCCCTTTCCTCCTTCTCCTGACAGCCATTAATAATCTTTGGTTTCTGTATATTTGCTTATTTCATATTAATGATATCATACAGTTTCTGTCCTTTTGCAGTTGATTTATTTTGCAAGGTTCATGCATGCTGTGGCCTCAGGACTTCACTGGTCTTTCTGGCTGCCTACTATCCATTGTGTGTGTAAACCACGTTCTGTTTATCCGTTCATCTGTGGTTGGACCTTTTGGTTGTTTCCACCTTTTGGCTATTGTGCAAAGTGCTGCAATCAATGTTGGTGTACGTAAAACCAAAACCAAACCCACTGCCATTGAGTCAATTCTGACTCATAGTGGCCCTACAGGACAGAATAGAACCGCCCCATAGGGTTTCCAAGGCTGTAAATCTTTATGGGAGCAGACTGCTTCATCTTTCTCCCGTGGAGTCACTGGTGGTTGAACCATTGACCATTTGCTTAGCAGCCAAATGCTTAAACATTGTGCTATCAGAGTTCCTTTTGGTGTACATAGAGTTAATGACTCTTTGATGGGAGTAATTATGTGTTAGGTGCAAGTGAAGATTAACTGTAACCTCATGAGGGTGCTTGTATATATGGCTAGTATTTTGGCCTCATGGAGTTTAAGAAGCACTGATTTAGTCAACTTATCTGCTGTGGAGCGGGACAAACATGTAAACAAATGTGACCTTATTTGAAAGCCTTTAAAGCAAATTAATTTAAACAAATTAGAAATCCCAGGACTTAACTATATACCAAAATAGCTAATTGTTTATCTCCAGAATTCTAGCTGGAGCTCCACTCTCTGTGTTGCCACTGCCATTAATAACCCCTGTCCTTACTGACTACTCTCTTGTTAGAATTAGTCATCCCTTCAAGCAAAAGGTTATGTGCTCAGCTACTAACTGAAATGTTGGCAGTTTGAATCCACCCAGCAGCACCTCAATAGAAAGGCATGAGGATCTACTGAAAGGTCACAACCATTAAAAACCCCATGGATGTTTTCTCTGACACAAGGGATCACCATGAGTCAGAATCGACTCAGTGGCAACTGGTTTTTTAGAGGTCTCTGGGTGGCACACATAGTTTGCACTCAGCTACTAACATAAAGGTTAGGTTTTCATGGTCTGCCAGCTAGTGGCACCACAAAAGAAAGGTCTGGTGATATGTTTCCATAAGATTACAGCCCCCCCAAAAAAACACAGTATGGAATGGTACTGCTGTGTAACACCTGGGGTCACCATGAGTTGGAATCGACTCAATGGTTTGGGTTTGAAGCATTGAGTCTGCATTCCCTGAATACTTACTGTATGCCCAGCATCACACTGGATGCAGGGAAACAATGAGAAAGAATGCGTATTCCCCATTCAATCTAGTGGAGGAGGCGGGTTGGTCAACAGTGTTTTTTGTGCAGTGTGGTAAATGCTGCTATCAACCAGAAGCAATCTGCCACCTCTCTGGGTATAGAAGTGTGAGTATGAAATTCCAGGGTTAGAGGGCTGGGACTTAGTGACATTTACCATGTGCCATATACTGCTCCAAGTTCGTGACATGTATGAACTCAGTTAATCTACATAACTACCCTCCATGCTTTCTCATTGTTAGCTGTCCTTGAGTTGGCTCCCGACTCATGGTGACCTCATGCACAGTGGAACAAAATGCTGCCTAGTCCTGTGCCAATCCTATCACGGGTTGCAGATCAGACCACTGTGATTTATAGGGCTTTCCTTGCTGGTTTTCAGAACTAACTGCCAGGCCATTCATCCTAGTCCATGCTGTTATTTTTCACATTTTGCTGCTGAGGGAACTAAGGCAACAGTTATGTTACATGTAGCTAGCATGTGTCAGAAACAGTATATAATCCCATGTAGTCTGACAACGGAGTCTGGGCTTCTTAATCACTAGAAAGAAAAGATTTCCTTATAGAGCTATGCAAGGGTAAGAAAGGTAAGAAAATATACAATAGAGTGAGGCCCCTGGACTTTTGCCAGCCCTACCCAGGGTACTTGTTTCAGAATTAACCTTCTTCATGTGGACTGTGAATACTGAGCAAGCGAAAGAGAAGACACCCTTTGGTAGGGAGCATGGTGAGACTACGATAAGACTTCTTTCTAAGCACGAACCCCAAAACCTGAGCAAAAGTAAAAGGGAATATTGTGAGCTTACCCACTATAGGGTTTATCAAATCCTAAATTCCCTTTCACATACTAGTTTGCCACTTCCCTGGATTCTTGTACCCTGGAAATTAATGTGTGTGATCCTGGTACTGTATTGAAGTTCCTCAAGTCTTTCCTTTGACACCTTCTGTTTTTTCCCTGTGAACTCAGAGCTGTATGATTTGGGGTATGCATGGAAGAGTGAGAAGAACACCAGTTCTACAATTTAAAAGATTATTCAGATATACCATGGCATTTAAATCAACAAGATGAAAAAGCAAAATTCTTTAAGCTTGATTAGCTATTACTTAGCATATTTGATAAGGATTTGAAACTCAGCAGCTGGGCTATGTGCATATGTATGTATGTGCATGTGTGGTCATGACCTTTGCAGGTCAGGGTTTGTACATGTAGTACAAAGAAGAAAGTAGGAAGAGTTGGCGTAGATTGTATGAATGATTAATTAATTAATGTGATTTGGGTGTAAGTTTAAAGAACAAATTTGTTTTCCTTTCAAAAGTTCATACACATTTAGTTTCATGACATTGATTCCAATCGCCACAATGTAAACAGTTCTCTTCCCATTTTCTCCCTGTGGTTACCTTTTCCCTGTGTCCTTTTTTCCTATTCATTCCTACCCTCTGGGCTATCTCCCTGTACAAAAGCTGCCCTTCTGATCTCCCATGGTTTATTGTTCTAAGTCATGCACCTACCTGGTTAACTATTCACCTAGTAGGCCTGTCTATTTTTGGCTGGAAGCCATGGGAGTGAGTTCATTTCCACGGCCAAACAGTGACTAGGGGCCATAGTCTTAGGGATTTTACCAATCTCTATTAGACCAATAAGCCTGTTTTACTGGTTTTTTTTTTTCTTTCTTTTTTTAATGATTTTGAGTTTTGTTCCACATTTTTTGCCTACTCGACCCAGGATATGAAATCTTTGACTTCAATCTTTGAATAAAACAAAAACCCAACCAACCAACTGCTGTTGCACATATGTGGCCCAGATGGCTGTTGAGTAGGTTTAATTTATGGTGACCCCATGTGTGTCAGAGTAGAACTGTTATCATGATGCTGCTTATTGGCCCAGTGTGAGGATTTTCGTTTTCCTTATGTTGAAATGTAACCTATACTGCAGACTAGAGTTTCTAATCTTTATCAGTAAGTGCTTCAAGTCATCTTCACTTTCAGCAAGAAAACTTGTGTCATCTGCATATTGCAGGTTGTTAATGAGTTGTCAAAGATTTCATATTACTCGGTTCCACCATCAACACTAATGGAAGCAGCAGTCAAGACATCAGATGATGAATTGCACTGGACAAATCTACTGCAAAAAACCCCTTTAAGGTGCTGAAGAGCAAAGTTGTCTCTTTGAAGACTAAGGTGCTCCTAACCCAAGCCATGGAGTTTTCTATTACCTCATATACATGTGAGAGCTGGACAATGAATAAGGAAGACAGAAGAAGAGTTGATGCTTTTGAGTTGTGGTGTTGGCAAGGAATACTGAAACTGTGGCCTGCTAAGAGAACTA